AACATGCAAGAGTTTCTCTAGGTCAGGAGTCAGCAGTCTTTTTCTTAGAGGTCCACATAGTAAATATTTAGGTTTCGTGGTAGTCTCTTTTGCAGCTCAATCCTGCCTTTTTCTTTTTTTTTTTTTTTTGAGCCAGAGTCTCACTCTGTCGCCCAGGCTGGAGTGCATTGGTGAAATTTCAGCTCACTGCAACCTCCACCTGTAAGGTTCAAGGTATTCTTGTGCCTCAGCCTCCCAAGTTGCTGGAATTACAGGCATGCACCACTACGCCTGGCTAATTTTTGTATTCTTAGTAGAGACAGGGTTTCACCATGTTGCCCAGTCTGGCCTCAAACTCCTGACCTCAGGTGATCCGCCCACCTAGGCTTCCCAAAGTGCTGGGATTACAGGCGTGAGCCACCACTCCCTGCCTTTTAACAGGAAAACCACCGTAGACAATATATGAACAAATGGGCATGGCTGTGTTTCAGTAAAACGTAATTTACAAAAACAGATGGCTAGTGGCCCTAGTTTGTGGACCTTTGCCTTAGAATATATATCTTAAAAGCTTACGAGTGTTTTGAATTAGTTTTTGCCAAATTGCTCTTAAAATGTTCTTTTTAGTTTACATTCCTCCTAGTAGTATGTGAGAATTCTTGTTTCTGTGTGTCTTCTCCATCACTTGTGAGTCAGAATTTGTAATTAACAATCAGTGGGCAGTGAAACATTTTGTCATCTTAACCTTGAATATATTTATTAGATTTTGGGGTTTTCTTTCTAAGTTACTTCTTCATATCCCTTGATCATTCCCTATTTTAATCTCATGTTTTTATGTATTCAAGAGATATTTTAGTATTCTCTTGATACCAATCCTTTGTAGATAATATACATCTCAATTCCTCCGTGTCAAATCTGTTATCTATATTAGCTTCATGATAACAAAAATAAGCTTTTATGATAAAGCTAAATTAATTATATTGCCAGATTTATGCTTTCTGTGACCTATTTATACATCCTTTTCCTGTACTGAAGTCATAAAGGTAACTTCCTGTTAGCTCCTTAATTCATCGTGAGTTTGGTATTATGTATGTTGTGGAGGCAGGGCTCTATGTATATTACATACATATGTGTGTATGTGTATTACATATAAATATATATTTAATATATGTACATGTATAAATTCATGTGTATAAATATATATTAAATATATATACATATTATATATATAATATATACATGTGTATAGTCACACATACATATGTATACATACATTTATGTTGTAAATTGAATTTCTCATTATCATTTATTGGATACAGCACTAGTTGCTCATCAACAATTGGTCATCTGTATGATATACCAAGTTTATATATGCTGGATGTTTCTGATACCTCATTTTTTGTTTGCTGCAGTTTTATAAATCTTGATACCCAGTTAGGTGAATCCTTCTCTGTTTAAAAATGTAATATTCTGCCTCATTACTCTGCCATTTATACTTTAGTATCAGCTTCTAACTGAAATGAAAAACTTCATGGGCTTTTGATTACAGTTACATTCAATTTATAGATTAAGGAGAAGTCACATCTTCATAATATTTAGTCTTCTTGGTTGAAAGGATGGACTCTGGAACCAGACCTCCTATATTCGGATCCCAGACCAACCTGCCGCTTAGCTACACTGTGATCATGGGTAGACTCTCTGCCTCAGTTTTCTTGTCATTACAACATAGATAGTGATAAACTGTAACATGTGAGGAATAAATGAGTTTATGTATGTCAAAACACTCAGAACTCGGCACATAGTAAACAAATTATTAGGTATTGTTATTAACTTTATATCTGTCTATTCATTTAGGCTTTATTTTATATCCTTAAATAAGGTTTTGTCAGATTCTCCACAGGGATCTTACACATCATTAAAAAAAAGTTATTCCTAGATATGTTACAGTTTTTGTTGCTATTATAAATGGGAATTTCTTTAATTATATTACTAAATTGCATTTAAGTAAAAAGTATCCAGCTGTCTTCCTGAAATCTTTTATTATGTCATCTCCAGTTTAAGATTCTATACACTGTGATATTGTTTGCAAATAATGACAATTTGTTTATCCTTTCCAGTACTTACAGCTTTTTTTCTTTTGTTGTATAAGAACACTAATATATCTTTGAAAGGAAACAGTGATAGTGGTCTTCTTTTTCTTGTCTTGACTTTAAAGGGAATTCTTCTAAAATTTCACAGTTAAGTGTGTTGTTTACTCAGGGTTTTTGATAGGTGCCCTTTATCAAGTCAAGGGATTTACTTTCTATTCTAATTTGTGGAGAGTTATCCTGAATTTGTATTACTATTGCAGTTTTTTTTAATTACTTTTTTCTAAAGTCATATCAGGTTCATACTCCTGAACAGTTTGTCATTAAACATAATTTCATAAATATTCTTATATAGAAAAAGGAAAAAATTACTTAGTGGTTAAGCATCCCTAATCCAAAAATCCAAAATGTGAAATGCTACAGTGAGCATTTCCTTTGCACGTTTTGGGTACTTCAGAAGTTTCCTGTTTTGGAGCATTTGGGGTTTGGGATTTTTATATTAGGGATAGAGATTAGGAATACTCAAGATGTCCTGGCTTCTTCTATTTTCATATTAGAAACAGAAGCACAAGAAATGTCATGTCTGAAACCATCCACCTCAGTGGACATCAAGATGTAGACATTACTGCAGTCTTGAGTGAGATACTGGCAATGTATTGTAAAATGGAGAGGAGCGGGAGATGCAGTTTCCTATTTTCATCCTCTAAATACTACATTCTTTAATTTAGGACTTTATTGATGGAGGGGAGCTAATTATATAGAAACTGATTATACAGAAGGGAGGAAACAATCAAATTTAGAAATCTAGTAATTGTGTATAGTTTGGATGTTTCTCTAAAGCTAGGAAGTATTTACCACCTCGTTGTAGAAATGATCACTCATTTTTGCAGTATCTTTAGAAAACTACCAAAAGTACAGGTATTTCCTCTTCAGACGGTTTTCATGAATTGGACATGGTAAGATTTGTTAATTAAAGAATTTTTTTTTCCTGTTTTTTGAGACAGTCTGACTGTGTCTCCCAGGCTGGAGTGCAGTGGTGAGATCTCAGCTCACTACAACCTCCGAGCCTCCTAGGCTCAAACCATCCTCCCACCTCAACTTCCCAAGTAGCTGGGACTACAGGTGCATGCCATTACACTCAACAAATTTTTGTATTTTTTATAGAGACACGGTTTCACCAGGTTCCCTAGGCTGGTCTCAAACTCCTGAGCTCAAGCAGTCTGCCTACCTTTGCCTCCCAAAGTGCTGGGATTACAGGCCTCAGCCACTGTGCCTGGCCTGAGAATATTTTTTACCTTAAGTTTACTATTTTCAGAATCATGATCAAGAATCAGCATAGTTATATTGTTAGAAAGAAAAAAGGGAGAAAATTAAGATAGATTAATTTGGGACAGTGAGTACAACTTCTTTGAGTTTTTCTTTTCTTTGTTTATCATAAGACTGTATAATAGCAATAAGCATTTTTTACTATGGTAGTAATAAAAGCATGAAGACATTGTATTTGAGTAAAACTAGATGTCATCAAAGAGTAACTTTTATATGAACATTTTTAAACTATGTATTTAAAGCTAATTGCTATAGTACTTTTATTATTTATCTGTTGGGAATGATATTTGTTTAGAAATCTTCTATTGATGGAGAATGTAAGTGAACAATGTTTAGAAACTATTCCATCTAGTTTCTAACACTGCTCCCCCCCTTACTGAAACAGTGTACTTTTATAATATCACTTTTGATTTCTTAATAATACGATGTTAATAACTATAGAATTACTACAGAAAATGGTACAGCATTGTCAGTACTTGTTTTTAAAACCTATGTTTTTGATCTCTCTTAACTAGCTTTATGAGAGATTTGCAAGGTCTTTATTAATAAGTGACTTGTTTTTTCTATTTCTACTAGTATTCATAAAAGTTAAAATGAAGTCTAGCTTTAAAACGTGCGCGCGCGCACACACACACACACACACACACACACACACACACACACACACACCCCTTTTCCTCACATCATTTCCATTCCATGTGGTTCAATCTGTAGTTACGGCTTTGTGGCCACTTGATGGTCTCTGTATATTGGAAAAGCAAAAGCTCAAGCTCTATCCTTTTTGTGATCCTGGTTTAGGAGATAAAAATAATGTTTAGCCACAGTTAGGTACTTGGAAAGGCTGAAAAATACTACTAACTTATGACAGAAGTAACTTTTGGGAGAGTTGGGCCTACTGTTTAAACCAGGAGTCCCCATCCCCTGGACCATGAGCGAGCATTACCAACTGAGCCCTGCCTCTTGTCGACATCAGTGGCTGCATTAGACTGTCACAGGAGAATGAACTCTCTTGTGAACTGTAGGAGTGAGTGATCTAGGTTCCTTATGATAATCTGTCTAATGCCTGAGGACCTGAGGTGGAGCAGTTTTATCCTGAGACCATCCCCTGCCCCAGTCAGTAGAGAAATTTCTTCCATGAAACCAGTCCCTGGTGCCAAAAAGGTTGGGGACCCTGATACTTAACAAAACAAATCAGCTGTTCTTTCCCTGTTTATATAAATTGATTATATTGTATTAATGTCTGGATTAATATAAAAGATTAAATGTGGTAAAATGTTCTCTATTGAAATATTTTTTGAGAATAAATTTTTGCAATGTGTATTCTATCAATTTTCGTAATTCATGCAACATAAAATGAATATGATATATGACTTGTATTTCTCCAGTTTTACTAAACAGGTATAGAAATCTGTAGAATAAAGTCAGAACTATTTTTAAAAATTGAACTGACCCCAGTTTGTTATTAAAGGGTGAATATATTTATATGTCTAGCTTTTTAAATAAGAATGGTTTGGCATAACCCTGAGCTGTTAAGTGGTAGCCATAGTACGATTATTTATATTAATGTTATTAATAAAAACATAACTAATTAGGTTTCTTGTTTTATTTTAGCGAAGAATAGCCAGAATTCAGCAAATCGAGAAAGACATACTTCGTATAAGACAGCTTTTACAGTCCCAAGCAACAGAAGCAGAGGTTAGTAAATTGCGTTTCTTGTTTGTAGGTATAAAAATATGTAGTTATTCTAAGAAAAGAAAATATGTATAATTTAATATGGCACCATTAAAATATAGGTGTTCTTTCAGAGAATTTAAATACCATAACTTTTTTCATGAAATTAAATTAACAAAAGTTTTGACTATTTTGATTTTATCTAACTTTTGGGCAGTTAAAATGTATAGAGCTGTAAATATAGATACCTTACTTTAGCTGTCAGTTTACATATAATCAGATAGTTAATTAATTTGGCTATTATCAATCAGTAAGTAAAACTTTTTTGTAGATAATCCATAGTAAGAATTGATAATAGACATTTACCTGTGCTTACTCCACAAACCCCATTAAAATGATAGTAAAAGGATACAATGAAAAGAGCATAATGACCAGGGAAGGTGATGACCACAATAAAATTTGGGGAGCTGTAAAACAGGTAAACAAGTGATAACATTCTAGCATATCAGAGAGGGTTGACCCATGAGGCAGCAATAGGAGTGCAAAGTCATGAAGCAACTAGATACCTCTGGATATGAGAATAAATAAGGGTTAAAAGCAGGAGGATATTTGAAAATTTGTTAAGAAGCAGATGGAGTTTCCACAACCTCCCTACAACTCTGTACAGCTAGGTGACTGCTCCTTTCTAATCCCAACAAAAGATGAGAGCTTTTTCTTTTGGAGAGGTGGAGAGAGTAAACAAAGGGTCTTTGGTTAGAGGGTAAGCCTCGTTTAATAGAAGGTGAGGGTATCATGCAAAAACCTGAATTACATGAAAATTTACCTACTGAATGCTGAAATCCCCACTAGCATCCAGGCTTATAATCTCCAGGCAAGTTCCTGAAAAGAACTTCTATAAGAAATGTGACTAACCCTGATTCTGCTGAGAGAGCATTAAAAAAGGGGGGAAAAATGAGAAGAAATGTGACTAACCCAAGAAAATAAACTTAAAGAGACTTAAATGAAAAAATTCATCAGCAAAACAACCCACCAAGATCACTCTACAGAGTAGCTATAGTTGACAAAATCCATTCTTCAGGCATAGAGCTTCATTTAGCTTTTTCATAGATAGCCCACTCTTAAATTTGAGTGGACACTAACAACTACTAGACATTATAGATCATTCTAGAAGGGTTCAATACCCAAATAAAAGGAGTTCCAAAAAGAAAATAGAGAAACTAGACAGGAAATCAGAGAAATAAATCAAAATTTCCCAGAAATTTTAACAAGGGTCTTAGTTTTCAAAATAAATTGGTATCTCCAGTATCTGACATCATGTATGAGAATAATCTCACACTAAGGCACATCATGAGGAAATTTCAGATCACTGTGGATAAAGAGAATAGTCTAAAAACCTGGAGAAAGAAGAGAAAACAAGTTTTACATAAAGGAATAGGAATACAAATACCTTTATATTTCTAAAGAACACTGGAAGCTGGGAAGTAGGGTAGCAGTGTCTTAAAACTTTTTTTTAAAAAGAGACTTACATGGAACTAAGACTCTTTTTAAAAATGTGGGATGATCTAGCTGGGTTATTTTGTTAGTGAATCCTTCCATTTAAGTGAATCTTTTTAAAACGTCTCTGTCGCCCAGGCTAGAGTGCAGTGACACAATCGTGGATCACTGCAACCTCTGCCTCCTGGGTTCGAGTGATCCTCCCAACTCAACCTCCCAAATAGCTCATGTGCCACCATGCCTGGCTAATTTTTGCATTTTTTGTAGAGACAAGGTTTCGCCATGTTGGTCATGCTGGACTCGAGCTCCTGAGCTCAAGCAGTCTGCCTGCCTTAGCCTCCCAAAGTGCTGGGAGTACAGGCATGAGCCACCGTACCTGACCCCTCTTAAAACTTTTGAAAGAAAATATGTGCAGTTTAAAAAAAAAAAAAAAGGGAGTTGGGGAGGGGGTCAGTAAAAATAAAGAAAGAAAGAAAATATTTGCAGCTATGTTTTGACACCAGTTCTTTGACACTACTGGGTATTCTACAGTTGGGTTCAATTTTGATCCTAACTACCCAGTGTTAGAGTCAACTCCACAAGTAAAGGACAAAGTTGATCCCAAGACTGTCTACTTCAGACACCAGCCACAAGTTTTGGGTGTCCCCAAGCCACCAGGACTGCTGCCAAGCTGTCTATAAATTCCGCCCCATGTGAGTGTGCTGTATGTAGTACAATACCATTCTGACGCTAACTACCCAGAGTTAGCACAGCCCCAACAGGTTAAGAGCAGAGTACTTCACAAGACTGCTCTCACCTCAGATGCCAGCCACTAATGCTGGGTATCTCCAAGCCACTCAAACTTCTGCCCAGTAGGTTACAAATTCCAGGCTTCCCACAACCCCTTCACATTCAATAATTCATTGAAAGGACTCACAACTCACTGAAAGTGCTATACTTAGGATTAACAGTTTTATTATAGGAATACAGATCAAGAATGGCCAAATGAAGAGACATATGGGGCAAGGTCTAGGGAAATGGGTAGGGATGGGGATGCGGGTGCAGAGATTTCATGCCTTCTCCTAGTGGAATCTAGGCATGTCACCCTTCCAGCACTTCAGTGTATTCACAAACCAGAAAGCTGCACTGAGTTTTGACATCCATAATTTTTACTGGAATTTTATTCTGTAGGCATGATTAATAATTGGCCACATGAGGATTAAACTCAATGTTGAGCCGCCTATCCTTCCGGGAGATCAGTCTGGCCCAAAGTGCTAACCCTCTAACATGTTGACAGCCATCCATCCTGATGCTATCTGGTAGCTTGCCCTGAGTTGCCTCATTAGTGTAGCACACCCCCCATCACTCAAAAAATTCCAAAGGTATTTGAAGCTCTCTGCCAGGTACAAATGAACAAAGACCAGATGTATTTTTATTATACCATTCTAGCCTTTAGTCAAAGTGTTAAATTTGAGAGTGGAATAAAGACACTTAGATAGGTGAAGTCAAAAATATGTTTTTCTCATGCACCCTTTTCTGGAACCCATTGAAGGATATATTCAAGTGAAATGAAAGTGTAAAGCAAGAAAAATGAATTCTGGGGACTCAAGACCGAGGGCATATAATACAAGAGAAAGAGATGAGCAAAACTCCAGAGTAAAGATGAGGGGCCATCCTGAGATAAATGGTAAAGAAAGCAGTCAGTCCGTATTGGAACTATTGAGAGCATTCCAGGAGAGATTAAGTCCAAGAAGATGAAATCAGTAGAATACCTGCTGTTTCTGATGTATTGAAAGGAAAGGAAATTTACACAGTAGGGGAGAAACTGAGGATAAGTCATATGTACCCAGATAATCAAATAAACAGGACAATAAAGATAACCTTTAACTCCATGGACAAGAATTTATAAAGGAAAATAATCATAGTATACCACCTGCCAGCTATAATTAGAACTTAATAGTCAAAGTAATATAAATAGTAAAAAAATTTATGTAACAATTAAGTGGAACTGAAAGCATTAAACTGAAAAATGCAGAACTAGCCATTGAAGCAGGTTATTTGGAAATATGGGGGTAAGTATACCCCCTTCCCCAAAAAATTAGCTGAAAGAGATTACAAAGAAATAGTTTTTTAAAAACCATTTTCATCTATGTCTGGCTTTTTTAATACGTGAGGAACTTTGGATTTAGTACATCTAAATTTGAAGTATCTATTTGCTAAGTAGACAGTTTAGATACAGTGCGATAGTCATAATCCTAAAAACAGTTTAACATGACTGTCTTAAGCCAATATAAGTCAAATATTTGCAATTTAAAGAATGTGTTCATTTTTGCAGTGGACCCTTTTTTCCTGGCCCTTTGTAAGGACCAGAAAAAAAGCAGTATTTTTTGTTCCTTTTCAGTTCTGTTGGTATTGATGTATTTAGCATTCTACTTGTTATGACCCTTTTGGCTTTCTACTGTAGTTTTTATGTGTCTTTTTTCCTTAAGCAAATTCGTTATGGTCTATTTTTTAAATGATTTCTAAATAGGCAGTGTTTTGTTTTTAATTGAATAGCTTTAGTTACAATTAGTTCTTCCCCCTCCATCTTTCTTATATTCTGATTATTACTGTTTTGCGGCATCTAACAGGTTTTGATATTTCTAAATCACTAGTCACATTTTTTCTAGTTGATTGAATCTTTTATTTATATAATATAAAATAGCCCTCTATTTTATTTTATTTAATGCTGTTAACCTTGAATTTCATTTTGTTTGCTGTTAATGTTCCTACACTGGCTTTCTTTTTCTTAGCATTTACTCAATATATTATTTTATCTGCCTTTACTTCCAAATAATATTACTCAATGTATTATTTTCTCTGCCTTTACTTCCAAATTTTACCCACTAAGTGCCACTGTCTCACACTTACATTAATACATTAGCTCCTAACTGGTCTTTCCTGTGTTTCCTCCCTACTTAGACCATTTAAAATTTGTCTTAAAAATAAATAAATTTACATGCAAGGTTTTCCATTACTGTATTAGTAGTATGTGGGGCAATCATGCAGTGGCCTCACTATAACTTACAAGTAGAAAAGGCAAGAATGCCATCTAAGAATTACAGAAAAAGCAGCAAAATCAGAATTTTTTTTTTTTTTACCGTATTCTTTTTGTCCTACTTTCCTCCTTGTTTTTGATGCTTCAGCCACACCATGATTCTTTGATGTGCTAAAACAAGCCATGCTCAATCCTACCTTGGGTTCCTCTGCATGTGATCTGTTTTACCCAGAACGCTCATCTTCCACCCCTGTCATTTGCTTAGTTTACTCCCATTTATTCTTCAAGTCTTCACTCAGACAGCACTTCCTAAGAGAGCTCTTCCCCAAACCTCCAGACTATATCATATCCCTCTGTTATATATGCTTATAGCACCTTGTATCCTTTGTTCATAGCATTTGTCAGTTTTACCTTTGTTATTTCTGTCATTATTTGACAGTGTCCCTGACTAAACTGCAAAGTCCAAGACAGCATAGAACGATGTCTAGTTTTGCTGGCACTGTATTCCCCAGCAACTAATGCAAGTAACTAACATAGTAGATGGTCAGTAATTTTCTCTAATATATTGACATCTTCACTTATGTTAGTGTCAAATCTTTGTGGTCTTAAATTTATTTTGTCTCTAGGTTGACTTTGTGTCTTTTCTTATGGATTTCACTGAATTTTATAGCATGATTTTCACATAGTACTATATTATTCTATTTCTGAATTACTGAGTGCTACCTCACTTTTGCCAGCATATAACTAATAATATTTATTGATGGAAATGTGTATAAATTAATTTTTAAGTCACATTTTAAAAATTATCTAGGAAAGCTTGATGTTTAAAGAAATTCCATTAGGAATCATTTTGTAATTTAATTACCTACTGTTAGGTCAGATTTTTAATGTATAATTTTTATTTTAGGATATTGTTTTCCTAGAACAAGCACATAGGTATTTCTATAAAAGACAGTGAGAAATTCTTTTATTTCTTTAATTTTATGTTGGTATTTTTATAAAGTGACTGCTTTGTACTAGAGATAATCTATCTTGAAATGACTGCTTTTACTGGATATAATCTGTCATTTTAATTTCCTGTTGACAGATGGTGGTTGCATTAGAAAAGGCTTTGGGTTTTATTCATATCAGAATCTAAGAGCCTATCATTTTATTTCACCTAACTTTTATTAGAAGATATATATATATATATATATATATATATATATATATATATATATATTTTCTGTGTGTAAATATACCTAAGTAGAAGATATTTGTACGCTTAGGTAATAGTTTAACTGTTTTATTTGCAGCTCCATTAAATGCCAGAATCATGTGACCTTACAGAAAAGATAGTTATTTGTTATACTTGGGTTATATTCCTAATAGTAATGTGAGCACAGCTGGTGGAGGATAACATTCCTGTGAGTCTCAGAAAATCCTTTGTCTTGTGCAGCTCTAATGCTCAAGGGACACACTTCACTTTCCTCTTACTGAGATAGTCGACTGCTAACCATACTGGAGGTTATGAAGTGTAACATGCAGTTCCATGCCTTTATTAGTCTGTATAATTGATGCATTTAGCACTTTAAAACAAAAAAGAGAAAAAGCTGTGGGCTTAAGAAAGCACACATCATTTTTGTATGTAATGATGTTAACTCCATGTTAACAGAGGTCATCTCAGAACAAGCATGAAACTGGCTCACATGAAGCTGAGCGGCAGAATGAAGGTCAAGGAGTGGCAGAAATCAGCATGGCAACTTCTGGTAATGGTCAGGTAAATAAATTATTTTACCGAATTTTAAAAAATTATTTAAATATTCAGAAAAGTGTGAAGTGGGATGGTTCTCAGAGTGATCTATAAATCTTACCTGTTTTCTTAGTCCTGAATGAATATTTCCAGAAGCATTCAGTACCAGTGTGCTGTCATTTCTCGTTATTATATCAACAATAATGCTGTAAAGATTTCTAGATCTATTTCTATAGCTATAGATTGTGTGTTTATGTTTTAGTCTGAAATGATTAATGTATTTTTTTTTAAAAATAACTCTAAGCTGTATTTTGATTATATATATGATTTGACCCAGTTATTTTTGCTTCTCTTGAATAGGTTTGCTCTTTCACTAAGACATTCAGTACAAAGACATTTTTATGATTTTTTTCTTAATTATCATAAATACTTTGTTCTGTTCCATTGTACTTAAAGATTACATAAATCTAGAAATCCAAATCTTACTGAAAAAGATAATTGGTAATTGTCTTTAAATGAATTACTTTTTAAAAACAGAATTTCACTAAGTTGTTCTTAAAGGTAATTTTTCTACTGTTGATACAGAAAATTTTCTTAGTCTCTCCAGGTTACTTTTGATAGTATTGTTTGTAAAAAGAATGTGCTTCTATTATTTCATTAAAATGTAAAGCTTAAAATGCCTTATACTTAAGTATTTTAATTTATTTTACTGAGTTACACATACTTTATTCAGTGTTACTAGTTAGCATTCATTATACTGGAAAATAAGTGGTGAATTAAGACAAAGGCAATTACATTTAAACAACACATTTGAGTTATTTCTCTGTCTTTTGTTTAGGGAATTAGTTGGAATGTTTATATATTCCTACAGATATGTAGAATAAAGAAAAATTCAATCTTATATGACAGAAAACAATATTTACTTAGGAATAAACCTACTCTTAGTACTTTGGTTCATCTTCCAATTATTATGTACTTTGGAAACCTTACCTGTCCAGTAAGCTGGCTATGATAATTGGATCCTTATTACATTTACTACATCAAAACAAATTATAGGTAGATTAGATTTAATGTCAAGATGAAAACTATTAAAAATGTAAAAAGAAGAAAATGTGGGTAGCATTTTTATAATCATGTTGTAGGTGGGAGACCCATAAAGAAAGGATTAATAGATTTCACATTACAGCATGAGACTTCTTTATGTCAGAAAATCATAGCGAGATTACAAAACAACCAACCAAGATCATGTTATTTGCAAACATTTATAATGTCTAAAAAGTTAAAATTAAAGATGCAAAAAACGGTATTTATAAACCAACTATTTAAAGACTGTCTTAAAATGGTTCCAAGCAATCGTGGAAGAAAAAAATAAAATAAAATTTAAAAAATAAAATTAAAATGGGCAAAGGACATGAACAGGAAATAAAAGAAGAAATTAAAATGACTCATAAACATATGGAAAGATGATGATCAACTTTACTAATAATGATATATAAATACAAATTAAAACTAAAGTGAGCCGGGCACGGTGGCTCAAGCCTGTAATCCCAGCACTTTGGGAGGCCGAGGCGGGCGGATCACAAGGTCAAGAGATCGAGACCATCCTGGTCAACATGGTGAAACCCCGTCTCTACTAAAAATACAAAAAAATTAGCTGGGCATGGTGGCGCATGCCTGTAATCCCAGCTACTCAGGAGGCTGAGGCAGGAGAATTGCCTGAACCCAGGGGGCGGAGGTTGCGGTGAGCCGAGATCGCGCCATTGCACTCCAGCCTGGGTAACAAGAGCGAAACTCCGTCTCACAAAAAAAAAAAAAAAAAAAAAAAAACACTAAAGTGAGATTTCGTGTGGGGCCATTGGGTTGGCAAAGATCAGTAACACTCGGTAATGGTGAGCAAACAGGCATTCTCATATATTGCTTTTAATTGTATGACATGAAACAACCTTTCTGGAGAGGAATTTTGTCAAATGCCTCTAACATTACATATAATGTGCCTGTTGTAAAGCTCATCATTGCAACAGCTAAGATTTTATGCTAATGAGATAATCAGTCAAGAGTGATCAGACATGTTTGAAGAGATTTGCTATAATATTAACAATAGCAAAAACTTAGGAATAACCTAAGTGGACATTTGTCATAAATTGGTTAAATTACTAGTCAGCTGTAGATTAGTTGTTAAGTGGCTCTGGAGTCACCAAACCTAGGAAATCACACTCCCTTGCTAACAACCTTAGTAACAAAAACTCTCTGAACTTGAGTTCATTTCCTCTTTAGTAACATAAGATGATGGTAAAACCTCTACTTCATAGAACAGTTGGGAGAGTTAAATGCAAGACACATTTAACACTGTCCTTGGCATATAGTCAGTGTTTAGTAAAAGGTAACAAATGCTTTTGTTAACAGCTATTAATAATTGTCTTTAAATTAACAAATATGTATTATATGTCAGATACTGTGTTGGACTCCGGAATTGAGAATTGAAGACAGACAGTCCCTGTCCTCATGGAACCTATATGGTACATCCATGCAAATATTTAAAATGATAAATCACATCTCTATTTATGTAAAGATTTAACTTTTAGCCTTCAGCCTTGCCTTTTCAAGTATATCCTTCATATTATAATCAGTTATTTTTCTATACACAAATCTGATTATATCACTTATTTGTTTAAACCTTTCAGTGGCTACTCACTTCCCATATCCTAGAATCCAGATTCTTGACGTTGCTTTCTCTTCCAAGAGTATCTCACAATATGTGCCCTTATCTCTCACCACTCCCTCAACTTCAGCTTCTTTAGTTCCTTGAGTATGTCCAGGCCTTCCACAGGAGATTCTTTTTGTCTAGAACTCACTTCTGCTTCAGTTCATTGTGTATGTTTTACTCATCTTTCCTCTCAGTTTAAATATCACTACTTCCTAGACATTTTCCTTCTCTCCACCTACCAGGAATAAATAAAGTACTCTTTGATACTATTCCTGCTCTCAGAGTGCTTAGCACAATTTACCATTGGTTTAATTGTCTTCCTCCCTTTTTTAAGTCCTTTAAGCCACACCTGTTCCCCACTATATACCAGACAACTAGTATGTACCTGGCAGAGAGTGAACATTTATGTTGAATATTAATAAATATTACTGAGTTAGGTAATTATAACTTTTTTTTTGAGACATAGTCTCACTCTTGCCACGCTGGAGTGCAGTGGTGCGATCTCGACTCACTGCAACCTCTGCCTCCTGGGTTCAAGTGATTCTCCTACCTTAGCCTTCTGAGTAGCTGGGACTACAGACTTGTGCCACCATGCCCAACTAATTTTTGTATTTTTATTTGATACAGGGTTTCACCATGTTGGCCAGAGTGGTCTCCATCTCTTCACCTTGTGATCCGCCCATGTCAGCCTCCTAAAGTGCTGGGATTACAGGCGTGAGCCACCGCACCCTGCCAATTACCATTTTTTTCAGTTTTAAAAAAGCAAATATGCTAGGCATGGTGGCTCACACTTAACAATCCCAACACTTAGGGAGGCCAAGTGGGGAGGATTGCTTGCAGGTAGAAGTTTAAGACCAGCCTGGGCAACATAGGAAGACCTCTTCTCTACAAAAATAAAATAAAAATTAGCCAGAAGTGGTAGTCTCAGCTACTTGGGAGGCTGTGGTAAGAGGATCACTTGAGCCCAGGAGGTTAAGGCCGCAGTGGGCTGTGATCGCACCACTGCATTCCAACCTGGGTGACAGGGCAAAAAAAAAAAATTTTTTTTTTTTTAAATTTTTTAGACAATTTTTTATTTGTCTAAAAAATAAAAATAAAATGTTAACAAGTATGTATGATCTCATTATGTATATATATATATATGTAATGTGTGTATATGCATAGAGAAATGTTCAGGAAAATGTTCTTTAAAATGTTAACGATAATTATCTCTGAGTGTTGGGATTTTTGTGGTTTTTTACTTATTTATTCTTTTGTGTATTGTTTTATTTTTTGTAATGAACATGTATTATTTTTATAATAACTAAGAACTATTTTCATTTTGGGAAAATAGAAGAAAGCACAGTTCCGTTTTGTGGTAGTTTAGGTTAAGACTGTGAAGTCTTACTTCAGAATCCTGCCATGACATACATCATGTTATTTATGTCAGTATAAGGATGGCAGAGGAGAAGACCTATTGAAAATAGTAAATCAGGGCCCAGTATCATTCCTTCTTCAAGTGACGAACTCTAATAGTGCTGTGGATTCAGATGTAAACATAACAAGTATGTTTGTTTAGCAGTAGCAATCATAGACTTGCCCACCAAATAGGTGTTTGTATGGCACTAATGCTGCTAATACTGTTTGGTGACTTTCAGTCACTGTTTTAAAACAATATTACAGGTATTCTGAGATCCTGATTGCTATCTGTGTCTGTGGGACCATGATTTGTTATGCCAGTAATCCTTTCATCTATCTTAATAGGATCTATACACATGACCACCTCTTGGGGTTTATTATTTTGTTTTATTATTTGCTCAAAAGACAAAAGCCACCGACATCAATTGAAAATGAAGATCAGTCTCTTTGACTTTCTCAGGATCAGAGTACCGTGCTCTGCCAAAGTTCCCGTCCTAGAGTGATTCTGTTCACCACCATGTGAGAATTTCTTCTACCCCTTCTCTTACCTGGTTTCCTGCCCACAATCATTCTGTTTGTAAAATCCTTCATTGGCTTCCCTTGATTCTTAAAAAATGGTAACCATTTATTGTGACCATATAACCTGGCCCCTACCTATCTTGTCAGCTTTGTGTCACATCTTGCTGTCGCCACTTCCACACTGGCCTTCTCTCAGTACCTCATATTTACTGGGCGTTCTCCTACCACAGCCTGTGCACATCTGTACCTGTTCCATGTAGTGCCCATTTTATCTCATTTTGCTCAATTAACACCAGTTCATGTGTGTCTGAGCGTACGCACCAGAGAGGCTCATATAGATGAAATCTCAGTATTATAGGCTGTTACAGCATGTTCCTCGCCTTTAAATACTGCTACATTTGCAGTT